AATTTTCTATTGAAAAGGCGCTGCATAGAGCGACTGCGTATTGAAGTTGACCCGATGTTACAATCGAAAGAAGTTCCTGACAATGAAAGATCGAGGACAGACTTTTGGATGCGCGATCCGTGTTTTGTCAGTGGATGGTCACGTCACCTTGGGGCCAAGCTTCAGCATTTCTGTATGGTGGACTATGGGAAGCAGGCCGTACTGCGCAAATCTAGCATCCTCCAGATTTTGTCACAAAACTGTGAGTATCATCATCACTCAGCTTCTGCTGTTTAGGTCCATCTGTTACTTTGGAACTCGATGCAGTCCCTTGCAGTTCTGAGAGCTTTGGGAGATGGTAACGCCATGGTGATACAATTCGTTTGCAGGCAAATTGCTGAAGACAGTGGATCTACTGAACATGTATATTGATACAAGTGGATGTGAAACAATGAGCTCCTTGGTGAGCATGACATTACACTGTGTTGAAGTACCTGGTGGAGCTTTAGACTACATGAACACTTTTATGCCAAAGCTACAGACAATGGTGCTGTATGGGGCAGTTGGTGTGAGGAGAGGGCAATTGACTTTCTAGGAGATGAAATTTCTTAGCCTTGGTCTTTCAAGTGTAGGAGAAAAAGTCTTCATAAATTTTCCTAAGCTTAAGAAGCTGCAACTAAAGATGAAATGTCTGAGGGATCTTGAAATTGTGGCACTACGATTGAAATCCTATTCTTTCAATCTGGAGGTGCCTGAGCAATCAAAAGTGCACATAAGGTACTAGCACCATTCAAGGTTGAAGGGTTTAGGGTTTAGGACCTCTAGGTCATGCCCCATGCAGAGCATGCATCATACAAGTAGATTAGATGCAGGATGGATTGAGCATATTCAGCTTTAAGATTTGTCTTTTATTGTGCCTTCGATCCTAACAATACCTACCACTCTTGTGAGCAGAAATCATGGTTCAGATTGTGAAGTAATGCAATGTAGGACTCTTTCTGCTGAGTTCAAGTCTTGTAATACAATCTGAAAATTGCAGAATGCAATTTAGCATTTGGTTTGCACAATACAGTCAATTTGTCTAGTGGTTGAAAAGTGTTGGGTTGGTCTTTTGTTCCAAATTTCTCTGCACGACTTCAAGGGTGACCAAATGAAATAGTTCACAGTTTTGAGGTGAAGATGCGTACTCCTTATTCTTCCTCAATATCATTGATTCTACTGGGTTTGGAATAATCTTCGCAATGGCTTGCAGGAATTGGATGTAGGGTTGTGGAGGGAGGTTTGCAAATCTCAAATTAACATTTTGGAAGTTATCTTAAATATGTTATGATTAAAAAATATAATTTTAAATATTTTAAATATTTAAAAATTTTAAATTATTTTAAATTAAATTATCAAAAAGATATGTATTTTCTAATCTTAATTTTTTTTATATGTTTGAATTAGAATATTTACACAAGTTCCTAATGATATTAGATTTTACATACTTATTATATGACTTTAATAGAGCTTCTATTTAAATTTTATAAATTTTTAGGATCTATTAATAATATTTAAATAATAAATACTAGTATTTTTTTATAAATCATCTTTACAATTGTATTATTAACTTGCAGAAAGAATCTGAGTTGCACTTTGGACCAATTTACGATCTTTTGCAAAATAAGTTAGGTACTCTTAACAAATTCATTACTAAAAAAATTATAAAAGATATAATTTGATGTTTGAGCTTTCTTAGAGGTATTCAAATCTTCTTTGTAAAAAGAAAAATGGATCTTTACAAAGTACATACATTACGATGGATACAATATATTAATTATTAAAATATGTTATCTTATATTATTTATATTTAGGCATTTTGACTAATTTTTTAATATATCATCTATAAATAAATAAAATAAAAAATAAAAATAAAAAATAATAATAATATAAATTATATATATGTATTAGATTTTTTTTTGAATATTTTGAATATAAAATATTTTATTTTACACTTCTAAACACTCTAAATATTTCTTGACATTTGATAAATTATAAAATATTAAAATTTTGGATTAATTTTTAATAACATATTAATTTTACCAAAAATATTTAAATACATAGATTATATTTTAAGACTATTTTTTTATTTTACACAATTCAAGTGGATTTTGTAAGATATAGAATTGTAGATCATAATATAAATAAAAACTTCTATAAAGTTACAAATTACCTAAATTAAAAAACTTCTAAGACTACATAATTTTTCCTACCATTTACTAACTAATATAAAGATTTACTTAGATTTATTTTTTATTTTTTATTTTTTTAAATCTCTTTTCTAATACAATTGACTTGTATTTAAAAATAAAAATAATACTAAAAATATACTAAAAGAGAATGCAGATTCCAAAGTAGAATTTTAAGATTTAAAAGCATTACTCACCTTAGTTCTAATTTTGTTTTTGTTAGATTTTATGAATCCATTTTTTAGACAAAAAAATATTTATAATGTTTGATTAGGTAATATTTAAAGACTAATAGATGCAAGCAATAGAGTCCAATCTATCCAATTTGATGTTTTTCTTTTTCTTCTTCCAACTAAGATTTTCTATAAAATGTACACCAAACAGATTTTTACTATTTTTAGATTTATTAAAGAATACTATTATTGCCTAAACTGTTCTTTTATTCTAATAACAATTATATTGATTACAAGAATTTTATGTCTTTTATATATACATGTGTCATTTTTGTTACAAAGTCCATTAAAACGTATTTTTGAAAAATTGATATTAAAAATTATTATTTGTTTTTAAAGATAAAAATTCTTTAAAATATCGTGTCAATACATTTTTATTTTTTACTAGAAGAAGAAAACTTCATACATAATTACGTACAAATTATACATTTTAAACAAAAGTAATTACCTATTGAAGTTATACAATCAATACTATCTATTAATTCCACATTTTTAACAATATTTGACCAAGTATATCATTAGATCCTTTTGTTTTTGAAGTTAAAAATAATTTAAAGATGATTCTAAAAAAGACGTATCATATATAACTACTTATTTATTTTTAGATTAAATAAGATAATATGTTCTTGAAGCATGGTATTACATCTAAAAATATTTTATTTTTACTAGATACTATTGATTTTTATTGACTCTAATAGTAAGACGTCAATTTAGTGCTGTTTTTATTTTTTTTATTTTTTTTCAATTAGATTAAATTTGAAAGTAGGTTTTTTTTAGTGAAATTTAATATAAATCCTGATTTCATGATGGTACTTTGATTTCTTCAACTTGCTATACAAAATTCTTTTTTATTATTCTTCTACCATCTAGATTCTCTTTGTTTAATATAATACCTTCTTTGTAGATCTTTTTTTGTTTTAATCATAAACACATGCTTGTAGTTAGTCTATATACTTGCAACAATACTGCTACGTAAGAGCAAGTATTTTTTTCAACTAACATAGTTTAGTATTCCTTCGTTTGAAGTAAATTGGTTTATCTAATCTTACTTTACCTTATAATTTTCTTATAGATTGAAACAATTCATTATTCTACAAACTAGTCTAAATATAACTCTTATGCAACTTGAAGATTTTTGGAAATCAAACCTTGATTTATCAAACAATTACATGAAGAGGTAAGGTACATTTTAATTTATATATATATATATAGATATATATATATCATAGTAAATCATGGATGTATACTCTCTTGTTTGATTTAAGATTAAACAAAAATTCTACTTTTTGTGCAAAAAAGAAAGAGTCTTAATTTGCACTCTAAAACCCTAAACCCTAAACTTGTGACACATTCTTAAAACTCTGTGTACAAATATCAACAACTGAATGACAGCTGCTACGTTCTAAGAACTTGCCCCGTAACACAACCCACCTTCTACCGTGAAACGAAGTTGCACAGAAGTAGCCCAGTGCAACTTTGCATGGCAAAATAAAGTTTGAAGCACCCCAATGACGTCACAGTTGTCTTCTGTAGCTCATCGGAGTTTAGACTAAAAAGCTTAAAAGTTGCAGCTCTGATTCCTACCCGATTCCTCTGAGAGTTGTAGGAACTCCCACGACCATGCTCTGTGCAGAATTGACTTATTCGTAAGTCTATGACTAGGAGTATAGTTTAGATTAAAATGCTTTTTGTGATACACCTGATTAGAACTTCGTGGTTCCCTGACTTGGTCCAAGACCTAAATTAAATATTTATTACAAAAATGAAATAAACTCAAATGTAACCAATGTATATTTTATTTTTCATACAAAGAAAATAACCAATAATGAAACAATAATGAATTCTTGTTTATAAAACATCTTTGTTTGTGAAAAATAAATGAGTAAAATTTTTTAGTTGCGGAAATTCTTCCTAGGAACAAAAGTATCATGTCCATTGACTGCTGCTGTGTATGACAACAAAATGTAGCATTCTTTGCAGCAACAGTGAGGGTTGAAGATTGGAATAGTCGCAACCTCACCTCACTCGATTCCTGGAAATAAGGTCCACACTTCACATTGAATCCGTGCGGTAACCCATTCCGACGGCCCTATGTTGGTTTGACCGTACTAACAAATCACACATGCCACATCACCAGCGTTTTGATTCACTTAGTATCCAAACATCTTTCCCCAAATACAGACTGCCTAGATGCTTCTGAGAAATCTCTCAACTACAGCCAAAACAGATATCTGATACTTATTCTGTTATAAAACCTTCGAGACAGCTCTTGTTCGTGCATTGTGCAAGGTGAGTTATTTTACAAGGCAAGTGATTCTAACTTGCAGCTGGGATTCAGCGAGAGTGTCAACAGTCGAAGACAGCTTTGTAGCAAAATATGTCGCTTGTTTCAATGTATGACAAGACTCATCGGTTTCCATGGCTAGCACCTTCAAACTTCTTTGACCTCCTGAAATTGATTCTGGGCTTCATAGACGCGACTCGTGCAACACAATTTTCAAGCGAACTCGTCTCCAAACACGCAACAATGGATAACGTGCGTGTGTTATCTGAGGAACACTGAAGAGTTTTGAGAGGAATTTTTTTCTTTGTGTATCGTCGTGATGTATATTTTTCTTCCACGGCGGTTTTAGTCTTCTGCTTCGAAGTCCCCGAAGGTCATTGTCAGATGCAAAATTAGGAGGCTGATTGGATTTGTCTACTTTACGGGATGCATGACTGTTCTTGTCTCTCGTATAGCCCGCCGAACCCTGTCGCATTCTCCCTCGAAATCCTTAGCCCTCAACAGGTTTAGAGATTCTTAGCTATGGCGGGAGTCACAAGATGCCAATTATGTATTGTGTATATGAAGTTGTCTGATGGGATGTTATGGATTTCTGTGGCAGCTTCCTCAAGACCTAGTTAATGAAATTCTCAAGCGTATTGCGGATGTGAATGACATTGCAAATTTTTCGGAAACTAGCAGAGCATTCCGGGAGGCTAGCTACTTTGCCCTGTCTATTCGCATACAGGTGCGGAATAGTGATCATAAAAGAACCCGGAATCTACTGGATTCTTTCTCACCGAACTCTGGTTTAAATCGTCAAGACCTGAAGGATAACATGGGGAAGTTTCTGTTGAGAAGGCGTTGCATAGAGCAACTGCATATTGAAGTTGACCCGATGTTACAATCGAAAGAAGTTCCTGACAATAAAAGATCGAGGACAGACTTCTGGATGAGCGATCCGTGTTTTGTCAGTGGATGGTCACGTCACCTAGGGGCCACGCTTCAGCATTTATGTATGGTGGACTATGGTAAGCAGGCCGTACTGCGCAAATCTAGCATCCTCCAGATTTTGTCACAAAACTGTGAGTATCATCATCACTCAGCTTCTGCTGTTTAGGTCCATCTGTTATTTGGGAACTTGATGCAGTCCCTTGCAGTTCTGAGAGCTTTGGGGGATGGTAACGCCATGGTGATACGATTCGTTTGCAGGCAAATCGCTGAAGACAGTGGATCTACGGAACATGTATATTGATACAAGTGGATGTGAAACAATGAGCTCCTTGGTAAGCATGACATTACACTGTGTTGCAGTACCTGGTGGAGCTTTAGATGACATGAACACTTACATGCCAAAGCTACAGACAATGGTGCTGTATGGGGTAGTTGGTGTGGAGAGAGGACATCTGACTTTCTCGGAGATGAAATTTCTTAGCCTTGGTCTTTCAAATCCAGCGGAAGCAGTCTTCATAAATCTTCCTAAGCTTGAGAAGCTGCAACTAAAGATGAAATGTCCGAGGGAGCTTGAAATCGTGGCACCTCGACTGAAACCCTATTCTTTCAATCTGGAGGTGCCGGAGCAATCAAAAGTGCATATACGGTACTAGCACCATCCAAGGTTGAAGAGTTTAGGATTTAGGGTTTAAGATCTGGTGCAGGATGGGATGAGCATATATAGCTTAAGATTTGTCTATTATTGTGCCCTCAATAGTCTGTATTTCCCAACAGTCTCCTACCACTTTTGTGACCGAAAGTAATGGTTCAGGTTGTGAAATAAGACAATGAAGGACTCGTTGTGCTGAGTACAAGTCTTGTAATACAATCTGAGAACTGGAGAATGCAATTTAGCATTTGGATTGCACAATACAGTCAATTGTCTGGTGGTTGAGAAGTGTTGGACTAGTCTTTTGTTCCAAATTTCTCTGCAGGTCTTACTGGGTGACTGAATTTCCATCTGTTCCATATGAAATAGTTTTCACTTCCGACGTGAGGATGGGTACTCAGTATTCTTCCTCAATAGCATTGATTCTACTGGGTCTGGAATAACCTTCGCAATGGCTTGCAGGATTTGGATGTCGTGTTGTAGAGGTAGGTTCGTAAGTCTCAAACGAACATTTGAAAGTTTGATTGTACAATATTGTCGTGATTTCATGATACGGTTTATGGCTAACGTACATTTTCATTCCACAACAAGCTTGTGTATTATTGGATGTATTGTTCTTTGTCAAGGTTGAACTTTTTAACCCATTGGTGATTACGAATTTGGGGAGTTTAATGATGAACGAATTCTTGACGATCTTGTTTTAGGAGTCTCTCGCAAGACGTGAAGGATGATGCTCGATGTGCATAATGTGTGAGAGAAGCGGTAGACACGATGATGGAGAGGCGGGAGAAAATTCACAGTTGGGCAATAACTTCCGACTCTGTATTTATTTTGTGAAAAAATCGTTGTTAACTATGGCATTAGTCTTAGATAATGATGGTTATAATAAAGTGGGTAAATTAAGTAAATAGATGGGTCATTTTAACATTTTTCTATAAAATAATCTATATTATCTACATAAACATTAAGCTTCAACGTTGTTTGCTTCATTTTATAAATTTACTCATGATACATATTAGTTTTGTAATTATTAGCATTATAATTCTTATAATAATTTCTTTTTTAATTATGGATTTTAAAAATTACATATATAAAAATATAATGTATTAAAAAAATTAAAAATAATAAAAAATAGTAAATCATTGTGGTGAATTTTTTTATTATATATATAATATTGTATGTTTATATACATATATTAAAGATATTGATAAAAAAATAAAATTAATTTAGATTTATAAGTAGGAATTACTTGGCATTATATATTTACAACTATATATAATCTCTATAAACCAATATGCAATACTTATG